ATTATAGAACAAAAAATGAGATCATTATTTAAAAAAACTCAAAAGAATTGCAAATACTTGGTTTCTAAACACTTTACTTACTAAGAACTTGTTTTACATTTTTAAAATGAATTTAGGTGTACACAACATCCTTAATGTTTGAACAATTGCAACAGATATTATTATTTTTAGTATTTTAAAATTGGCCTGTGGAAAATCCTTATACGTCATTGACCCATATATATATAATTAGAATTATATATTATGATTATGAAACCAAGTTTGTCATAGTATTTGTATTTCATTATATATTAAACTTTATTTTTATATTCAATTTTTATAAAAAAAAAAATATATATATATATATATATTAAAATAACTTACTATTCTGTAAATATTTTAATAGTATTAAATAATACTATATAACTTTTGTATTACATACGTATTACATTTGTATTACATTCGTATTACATTCGTAGTCGTATTACATCTATATTCGTTATATAGAATGCACATTGAAGTTGTTATTTATATATATATATATATATATTTATTGTATTGTATATATGTATTTCATTATATATTAAACGTTATATTTAATGTATATATAATTATATTTAAGTGTGTATGTGTATATATATTCCTTATTTCTGTTGTAAATGTTGAACTTTTTTGAAAGAATATTTGTGGTAATAAGTATAATAAATAATTGTATTTTATTTATACTTGTATATTTCATTTTTATTATGACATATAACATACTACATTTGAGATTTTCGAATAAACTATTTGTGGAAAGTATGTGTTGTACATTGTATTCTTTCCAATTTGACAGAGATTGTTTTGTGATAAAATACAATTTGACACTTTTTTTAATAAAATAGGTCTAAAATGGGTTTAAATATTGACTTTTTTAGTCATTTAAGAATTTTTACATTTACATATATTCATTTGGCAGACGCAAGGAACACATTTTACATTTTTGTCAGTTCTTGCTTTCCCTGGGATTAGAACCCACGACTCTTCCGTTTTTTCCCCCTTCTTTCGGCGCTTCTTTTCCTTCTCCCCCCCACCCTTCTGGAGAAGGTTACAAAAAAAGTAAATGTGACAATATTACCCTTGAAAAGAGTTATGTTGGCAAGGAATAGTTTTGTCTGCAAGCTCTTGTACTGAGCCACACGTCGAGGAGACCGGTCGAGGAGACCGGTAGTTCGCCGTGATCGTATAGTGGTTAGTACTCTGCGTTGTGGCCGCAGCAACCCCGGTTCGAATCCGGGTCACGGCAACTTTTTCTGGGTTTGAAATTGAGCTCCAAGTTACCACCTCTGCTCACCCCGTCCTTCAGACCGGTGCGTCCTTGTTTCAAGTCCCTGGTCGTGGAGTAGAGCAAGCATTTTAAATAAATTCCTATTAAGTAGGATTGAACTAAACAGAATGAACGTTCACTCTGTTCTGCTGGTTCCTCGCTGTTGGCGCGCACAGTTATGAATGCTTGTGCAGCCATGAGTTTTAGTTTAATTTTAAAATTAGCGCAATTTCGGGATTTGTATTATTTGAATTTATTTTAAAAAAACACAATGTTGAGTTTTATTGTAACACTGTTTAATCGCGCCCACGGTTATATTTTGTATATTATATATAATTATAATGTATTTCTGTATAAAATAATACTACAATAAAAAACACATTTGTGACCGACCTGATCCAGCAAAATTAGTCACAGTGACCCAAATTTAAAAATTGAGATTTTGATATTAATGGAAAGAGGACACTGTAAGCTTTCAAATGATACCTTGGTCATACCTTGAATGGTTGTAAAGATATACAGATTTGAATTCTGGTCGTCTGCCCTTTTTTTCCAATTGAAAACCTAAGAAAATCGCTTTTAAAGTTTTTTTGCCCGTTTTTTTTTTTTTTTTTTTTTTTTGATATCTTTCAAAATCCATAGCATTTTAAGGGATAAACTATTTATTTTATATAGCTTAATTTGACCAAATAGATTAACATATATAAATGCAATTTAACGAGGCTGAAACTCAACTTATTTTTATTTTTTTTGAAATAAATAATTAAAAAGTCACTTTTACAAAAATGTTCTAAAATCAGAAAGATTAAAGAGGAGTCAGAGAGAAATTCAGTTTTCATACGGATTAGCCCACATAAGCAGAGAGCAGTCTGTTTTCTTTCATTTTGAATGGTTGTGTTTAAAAGTAGACATTTCAATATATACACAAGTTTACGCGGCAAATTGTGGGCGCCGCCA